GGTGTGCGCCCCCTGCCCATGCTACCATTCCCAGTGCCCCACCTCCCCTTAAGAAGATATGAATGGATGGATATCTGCTGCTTTGGTTAGTCTCTAAGGTGCATATCTATACTGCCTTCCACTTAGACAAATGCAACTAGCTGTGTCTCTCCGTGTAGGAATCCATACTGTTGAAATGGTTCGGCCTGGCTGTTGTCTTTCTGAGTTCATTGAAACAGAAGGGTTGCTCTAGTATTTTTCCATAGTTAAAACCTGAGTGAAAATTTAAGAGCTGGCACTTTCCAGGGGCTGCTTTATATCTCAGGAGGGAAACCTTGAGCCTAGCAAGGAGTGTCTTGGGTCTAAAATGGTTGCAAAACCTTGAGTTAAAACAAGTCATCCAGCCTCCTTCTAGAACTTCTCTTTTTTGTAATGGGGAGCCCCTGTGTCATTATCCTCCTTGCTGAGGCCTTTAAAAAGGCAGGAAGAGAAATGATGTGCTACATTACAGTGAGGTTAGTAAGACCTTGCAGTACAATCTATGGACCTTGCAAGCAAGTTTTGCCTCCCTGCTCTGGGAGTTGTGACAAAGGGGTTACTACTACTGCTGTTGACTTTGGTCATGGGAGTGATTTACCTGTCTAAAAAACAGATTACTGCTTTACCCAGGACAAAATTTTATTGTAGGATCCTACCAATGAACACATTCATACTCCTGCTTTAAGTGGATGATCAAGGTTAACTTGTATGTACCTAGCCTGTGTCAGTACATATTAAAACTTGGTACAATAAGCCTCAAACCAGTCATCTGTGTTTTTTAGCCATAGAGTGTGTACCAATATGTCTCAGAAACCAGTCATTTGGGGTTTTGGTCTTGGTGTGCGTGTGTGTGTGTGTGTGTGTGTGTGTGTTTTTGGGTGGGGAAGGACATTATTACACAATACAAGGAACAATGAGAAGACAGCATTGCCTCTTTCTCAGAGTGAAACTGTATATAATACATTTTAGGTAGTGCTTTTTAAGTACTGGTGTAGATTTTTTTTTTTTTTAATCCTTAAAAGAGAGATTCATGTGTTTGTATGAATTATTTGTCTCTACAGTTCTTAAAGAACAAGATGGGAAAGTCTGAGAAGGCTGCCATTTCCCACAGCCAGCCTGTTCACGGTATACACCTGTGTGAACAACCAAAGATAAGCAGACAGAAGAACAAATGTAACATGCCACTAACTAAAATCACCTCTGCAAAAAAAATTGAGAACTTTTGGCAAGATTCTGTATCATCTGAAATAATTCAAAAGCAGGAGAAAAAGCCACTTAAGAACACAGAAAACTTTAAAAATGCAAAGTCCAAGAAACCTGAGTCTCCAACTGAAGTGAACCAAAAAGAGAATTATGCTGGGGCAAAGTTTAGTGACCCACCATCTCCCAGTGTTCTTCCAAAACCTCCCCGTCACTGGGTGGGATGCCCTGTTGAATATTCTGACCAAAATAGGGAGCTGATGGCAGTCCACTTAAAAACTCTCCTAAAAGTTCAAGCATAGTTTCCAAGAACTGTGAACAGTGACAAAGAAAGCGCCATCCAGGAAACTTGAATATGCCTTGTTGCAACATGAAGTGCAAAGACTGTCAAGTCGTACCATTGCATACAAAAACTTGTATTATATTTTTTATGGTTGTGTAAATAGTGTACAACATGTATTATGTGTATATTCTTGTTCATACTTTGAGAGGTACATTTTAGTTTTGTTATGAAAGGATGTATTTTGCACTGCCCAAATGGTAGGTGTCTTGTGTATATATAATATGGACAACTTTAAATGTGTGCTTGACACGTGAAGACTTGACTAACTTGCACAAGGTAATGAGATTTTGAAAGGAGAGTACAGCTTTCTAATCTCAAGAGTTCAGAATCAAATGTGAATGGTTTATTGATGCACTACTGAAAGTAGTTTTACACTCTGTGGCACAATCCATTATAAATGTGGAGTTCTCTCTCAAACATGAATTTCTGTTCTGCAGACAATTACTAGAATTCTTGTTTATGCTGTTGTTATAAAAATGAATTTGGACTTGAGAAAAAATTAATTCATCAATTTGAGCACTGACTTCCTAAAAAGGAGCAGAGCTTTCTGCCAGAAACAAAATTGGTTACTAAAAAAAATTTTAATAAAATATAATTTGGCCTCCCCTAAGTATGCGTCTTGTAGATGAATGTATTGTACTTTGAGATTTGACTGCTTTTATTTATGAAACAACCTTACTACTTGTAGCAGATTTTGTCACACCCATAATTAGCCAATTATATTCATGGTGTTATCTTTAGCTATTTATCATACCAAGAAGTAATTTGAAGCTTGATTGTGGCTTTAAAACTTTTAGTGGTTAAACAAAAGTTTGAAAACTCCTGTCCATCTGTAACTTGAGCATTTGGGACTATGAATTCAGTATTTAAAACGATGCTGTATTACTATATAACAGTTCTTATAAGAACAGCCATTCAATCTAGTTACAATTGAAGCACCGTAGGAAGAGCAATGTGATTGTGGTAGCTGAAACAAGTTATGCAAGGAAAACCAGTAGGTGCTTGTAGTCCTAGATGAATGGAAAATTGAATTTGTTCTAGTATTCATAGGCACACCTGAAAACTTGACCTACTATATATTCCAGTCCTTATTTATACTAGAGAGAAGGGAAGTGAGTGGAATTCAAAATTTGAACCTGATTGGTAGTACAGACAGTCCTTTGACTTAAGATGTGGTTTTCAGGAACCAATTGTGTGGTAAGTTGAAACATTGCAACTCTGAACCAATTTTCCCATAGGAAACAATGTTATAAATGGGGGGTTGATTCCTGAACCAAGGCCCCATACCTTATTTTCACCAAAAATAACCCAGAATTTTGTACTCAATCAATTATAGATGAGTAATATAGCTACACTATTGTATTTCTATTGTAAATAGCAATCATGCTGATTTGGAAGGACTTCTTTGAGGTGACTTTGCTGGACTTTTTGAAGGGCTCTTGGCTGGAGTCTTCTCAGGAGTCTTGGCTGCAGGTTTTTCTGGAGTCTTGTCTGCTTAAAGAAAGTGTCCAAGGACGTTTGGACAGATGTTCTCCAGGGAGATGGGTGAGACAGCGAATTTGTTCACTGGCATGGCATCGTGTCGGATCAAGCCTTGTAAAGTCTAAACTGATGTCATAGTTGAAACAGTGTCAATTTTATAAACGTAAGTGTGAAAAGTTGGAACTCAAAACGTAAGTCGAGGACTGCCTGTATTAGGTTTGTAGTTGGGACAGAGCAAAAGAGTTACTAGACCACCATGTCTCTAATTTTACAGCCCATAAGTGGAGTATACTGGTATATGTCTGGGGGTTTTTGTTTTATCAGTTAAAATTGCGTGCATGCTATCTTCGCTACTTCCACTAGAGACCTCAGGTCTCTACTTTAAATGAACAAG